ATCCTCTTCATTTATTTTCCGTACAGGTCTCACAGAAGAAAAAAAATCCCAGTATGATTCCGTTCTTTAAAAAAAAAATAAGCTTAATAAGAAATGATAAATTGAGAAGGAGTCACTGCATCCCTTTTGGAAGACTTCCACAAGAGGTCAGGCTTCATAGCAATGTGTGTATCCCACAGCTAACTCAAAGCAGCTACCCTGAAACATGAACAAGGTAAGACAGGACTGTAGCAGTCAGAGCTGATGGCTTATGGGAAGAAAGGGAAGGGTAGAACAGCCTGGCAGCCACTGCGGCCACGGCAAACAGCAGGATTTCTTCATCAAGGCTGCAGGAGCACAAGAAATCTTGAAAGCAGCTGAAGACCAGCACACAAAATCCAGGTTATGGATCCTAACTACCCCTTAGCTATTGTGGCTGGCTAAGTGAGGCAACCCAGTCAAGAGTGATGATGGAAGAGTGACAGATAGCTGTTGGGGAGCAATCTCTTCCTTCAGTTTGCGGCTCTTGGTGACATACATCTTTGAGTGCTGACTGCCAGCACCGAGCTGAACAGTGATCTTCCAAATCTGATTCGATGCATTCAGATGGTTCAGCCTTGTCTGTTTTTCTGGCTCTCTTCTCCTCCGCTGTTGGCTTACCAAGTCCTGCATCATCTCCCTACTTTCTCTCCAGAGTTACCCCTTGCATTCTACTTCCCAGTCAGAAAGACCACATTTCTGTTTCCCACACATCCCATGCCCTTTCTGATCCCTCCCTGAAGTTACGATGCGGTGCCACTGCCCCACATCCCCAGAGGCCCTCCATCAGAGCACCTCCCCAGGGGCAAAGCGATCAGTCATCTTGCCCAGCACTACCTCAGGAGGCTCACTGCCAGCACACCCCTCTCATACAGAAACAGACTCAGAACACAAAAGCTGTTGGGAGTCAAGAGTTAGAGGGGTAATGTCATCGGGACAGGGAAAAGCTTGGCTGGGTGAGCAGCCCTTCCCCATAAGCCGCTGCTTCTGTTACAACGTAGAAACAACTTCCTCTCAACAATGTTGCTTTGTCAAGCTTAAAAGTAAACCCCTGACCAGGGGTAGCCATTTGGAGCACTAGCAGCAAACAGAAAGAACCACAGCTGTTTTGGGACACCCAGGGCTTCTTTCCTTCTCTTAAATTCCCTCGGAGGCATGCAACCTATGGCCTGGGCTTCAGCCTTGTCCAGTACAAACTCCCACACAAGGAAACTAGCATGTTGGAAAGAGGTGCTCTCAAACCAAAATGACTAGACATCAGAGGAGTACAACTACTAGGAGAAAAGGACAAGGTACTAAATATGGGGGGGGGGGGCTTCAAAAAGTTCACGGAAAATGCATATTACAAAAATAAACTATGCACAGATTTTTCCAAGAGAAACTCATACTTTAATTCCATTCTCTCATCAATCTTTTTTTTTTTTAATCTATCTATTTATTTGTTGTGATTTTCAAGCTGCTGGGCCCGGAACTCAAACCACAGTCGGGCATGTGAGAATCTAGCACCTTAACCACCATGTCACCTGCTGACCCCCTCACTAACTTTTTAAAGTTCCTTCATATATTACAAGAAGCAGAATTATTGAGACAGACTAAAAACTTTAAGTAGCATAATAAATGTACTCCATGAGATAAAGGAAGAGATTACTAATGCAAACTAAGGGAAACTATCAAGAAGAAATGTACCAAAGTTGAAATAAAGAGCACAAAATGTGAAAGACACAGCACAAGCCTTCAAGAAGAGAACAGAGCAGTGCAGAGAGAGGAGTAGATCCAGAAAGAAAACAGAAAAGAATAAAAGGGTGAAGTACAGAGACATAAGAGCAAAGCAGAGAGTCCAATATCCAGGCAATTAGGAGACAAAAAAGAAGAGACAGGAAATGAATATAAAAGAAAATATTACAGGAAAATTGATAATTCCCCTAAATTAAAAAGAGAAGAAAGACCTCAGATTTTAAAAGTTTATAAAGCCAGCTGGTGGTGTGATAGTTAAGGTACTAGATTCCACATAGCCAACTCTGTGGTTCAAACCCCAGACCCAACGACTTGAAAAACATCCAGGGCATACATGCATGCATGCATGTCCAAAATCCTGAGAGGAGAAAGGAGGAGAAGGGAATGTGGCATGGCCATCCTCCTTGGCGGTTGACTTCTCACTTTCTCCCTCTGTCTCTCTCTAACAAAAATCTTTTTTTAAAAATGTATAAAGAACCAAACAGGATAAAGACCCATGCCAAGGCTTGGTTTGAATGCTCCCCCCTCAAAATCCATATATTGAGGTTTGGTCGTGATGAGATTAAGAGGGTGAAAAGTTAATCTGACTAATATAAAAACGTTCGGTCTTCGGATGGAGACTGGGATGCAGGTCATAAGGGCGGGATCCTCATGACTGACTACTGGTGGGTTTATAAGGCTAGGGAATGAGACTAGAACAGACACATGGACATGGTTGCTCTGCTCTGTGCTTGTCCTGCTGTCTACCATATCGTGATGTAGCCAGGAGACCCTCACCAAATGCCAACGCCATGCTCTTGGACCTCTCAGCTTCAAAGCCATGAATTTAATAAACCTCTATTCGCTGAAACTACTCAGACTCGCTATCTCCGTGATTAGCGACACAACAGACCAGAACAGCACAATACAGCGAAACTTAAGGATATTAAAATTAAAAGCATATTCTAAAAGGATTTAGAGAGACAGAGAAAAATTGAGAATAACGTCAAATTTTTCTATAGCAACACCAAGGCAAAAAAGACAATAAAATAATATTTTGAAACCATTGAAGGAAAAGAATTTTGAACAAAGACTTGTCAAATGTGAGGGCATAATAAAGACACTCTAAGGTGTCAGTCACTGAAGTTTTGCCATATAAAGTCTCGCTCTGTAAACAGGCATGAAGGAAGCACTCAAATTTAAAGATAAATCCTGTAGGATAAGCTATATGAGAAATAAGACTAAACAAACAACTTGATAAAGTTTGTTCCAAAAAACTAGAAACAGACTGTCAAAATTCTTGAAATAAAAAGTTAGATATAGCAACACAATTGAGCTGAGGACTAGGAAGAAAGAGAAAGACCCAAAGAACAGATGAACTACTAACATGCTGTACTACTTCAGGGCAAATACATTTCATCTAAGAATAGAAATAAATAAACACAAACATGGGTCTTAAGAGCAATCACCCTAACAATCAAAATAGAATTAGTTTCATTTTTTAATTTTTTAGAGATTTTATTTAATTTTAATCACTGTCATTATTTTATTTGATTTGATTTGAAGTTGAACAGAGAGAGAGAGAGAGAGAAGAAAAGTAAGAAAGCAAGCTGCCAGGTCCAGGACTTGAACTGCAGTCTACCATGTGGGAGTCCAGCCCCCCTAATCACCATGCCACCTGCTGGCCCTCAAGTTTTAAATGAAAAAAAAAAAATCTATCCATTAGAAACAAGAAATGCAAGAAAATAAAAAAGAGAGTCTAGTAAGAAGAAAAAAATTAAACAAGGCATTAGAAATAAGTGCTAATAAAACAATCATTCTAATCAGTGTAAATGGATTAAACTCACCAGTTAAAGGACTCTCAAATTGGATATAAGTAATACATTGCCTATGAGAAACAAATACACAAAAGAGAAGGAGGATGGAGAAATATCTCGAGCAAATATGAAACAAAAGAAAGCTGGAAAATCCATCTCTATATCTGCTAATACAGTATTCTAATGTTTTGTTTTGTTTTGTTTTGTTTTAAACCACAAGGAACAATAATAGATGCTATATACTGAAAAAGGAAACAAAAGTATAAAAATTACAATCTTTTATATGTACCTAATAACATAACCACAAATCTATAAATAGTCTTACATAAAGCAATAACTGACAGAATGACAAGAAAAAGATACAAATTAACAAAGACACTTGAATATTTTAATTACTCTTTTCAGAAAACTGCTAGAACTAGCAGATGAAGAACAAACAGAAATAGAAGGTCTAAATAATACACTAAGCATGCTCAAGCAAGTGAACTTAGAAAGAGCTCTATATCCAAGCAGAGAATATGTAATTGTTTTCAATGTTTTTAAAAAGTAACCACATCCTGGGACCAGGAGTTGGCATAATGGCTATGTCACTGGACTCCCACATATTCGACCACAGTTCGAGTCCTGGATCCAGTGGCTCAAACTCACGCCAGGCATATGTGCATGAGTGCCCAAGATTCCAAGAAGAAAATGGAGGAGAAGGGATTACAGTATGGCCATCCCCCCTGGGGGGTGATTTCTCGCTATCTATCTCTCTGTCTCTCTTTCTGGCAGCGCACGCGCCCTATAGCAAAAACCTCTAAAAAAAAAAAAAAGTAACCACATCCTAGGCTAGTGAGTCAGTCAATTCCAAGGAATCGGTATCACAAAAACTGTCTTCTCCAACCATAATATTAAAAACAATAACAAAAATAAAAGCTTGAAAATTTTTCATACAGCTAGAACTTAGTTAAAAAGAAAAACATGGAAATAGAGGAGAGGGGATTGCATGGAGACCATCCTCATGGAAAATGTTTTCTCACTTTCTCTCTGTCTCTCTTTCTCTCTGTCTCTCTTGGGCAAGAATACACAGCCTCTGGCAAAATTTTAAGAAGAAGGAGGAGGAGGGGAGGAAAAAGAAGAGGAAGAGAAGAAATCTAAAGGAACAAAACATATCAAGTAATGCCACACCCATCTTTTCAACAGCTGCTCAGTAGGCCTATCCAAACTATTAACTAATGCATACTCCCTATAAGGGGAAAAATATAGCCCTGAATTCCTCAAAAGTCCATATGCTGTTGATCATTTAATTAGAGGTAAAACTCAACAGACTGAAATCTAGTATGTCCATCTCGCTAAGCACTGGGTCACTTTCAGGCCTCATCCCCTTTGGCATCCACTGGGTGAGGTTACATACTCCCCTTCTTATTGATACCGAAGTCATGAGAATTCAACATATTTTCACACAAGTACCTGATAGGGTAAGTCAGCCATCCTTAAATAAGTTTCCATTTTCAAACAGAAAGGAGATAAACTGGGGACACCATTGTTAGGTCTTGCAAACTGATGCAAAATAATAGCATCTTTGGAGTCAATCTCTTGCTGTTTCCTGTCAAAACCAAAACAGAAACAAAGAACAATCCACATGTTATATGCTCGGTTTTCTTTGTTCTTCAGAGGACCCTCCTGGGTTGTACCTCATCAATGAACAAGCAGATCTGTTTGTCACAGGAGCTGATCTCACCCAGCCATTAAATGGAAGCTTACTCAAAACACAAGAGAACCCTACAAACTCTGATATTATCATGGCCCAACAGCACAAAAAAGTAACTGCAGGTCAACCTTCTTCCTCCTGTTAATTGTAGTCTATGGGATACCTGGTTATGTTTACCTTCCAGGGATGAATTGGACAGATAAAAATATTCTGTGCTTAATATTTGTCCCACATTATTTTGAAGGATTCACAGGTATTAACTCATTTAACCTTTACAATAACCTTATGAGGCAGGTACTATACTACTATTATCCATATTTTATAGATGAAGAAACTGAGGCACAGAAAATTGATCTGTCCAAAGTCACACTGCTAGTAAACAGGAGCACTGGAGTGAACCACGTAGCCACAGCTCATGTTCTCAGCCATTACACCACACCAGGAAATGGTCTATTCATCTGTAGAGCCCAGGAAGATCTGCAGATTTGGTCTGCCATAACCTAGATCTGCAGAAAATCTGAGACTTTGAATATCTTGGTCCCTCTTCCAAATGGCTTGTGCCCTCGCCTGGCCTTTTGCCTGCAGTGCCAAGAAGTGGGTTTTTGGATTCACTCCTTCTCTCTCTTCTCTGCCTTTACAGGTTCCCCACTTCAATCACTCAACATTTGGTTTAATTTTGCCTAATCCTTTTCTTCTGTCTCAGCCAACTTCCACCTTTTCCTGTGGCTACGTTTTTGGGTAGGAAGGAATTCCCAGGAGAATTTTTCTTTTTTTTGAGAGAGAGATTTTTGCTATAGGGCACATGCACTCGCCAGACAGACAGAGAGAGACAGAGAGACAGAAAGCCAGAAATCACCCCCCGGGGGGATGGCCACGCCGCGATCCCTTCTCCTCCATTCTCCTCTCGGGATCTTGGGCACGCACGCACATGCGCCCGGTGTGAGTTTTAAGCCACCAGGTCCGAGACGCGAACCGCGGTCGACTACATGGGAGTCCAGCGACATAGCCATTACGCTAATTGCTGGCCCCTCCAGGAGAATTTTTCAACAACCACTATGGCCGTAGTAGAACAAATGCTGGATTCCACATTTGGACACATAGGGTCAGGTCCAGGATCTGCTTCCTACTGCCCATGATATCTAGACCTCTCCTCATTCCTCACCCAGAAAATGAAAGCAGTACCAATTCTGCATCGGTTATAGAGAAGATCAAATAAGATCACCTGTATCTGTAAATACTTAGTGAGCTATCAAGGATTCAGTAAAAGTAGTGGAATTTATTCTCATCCAAATAGTTATGGTGTTATCTCCTTAAAGTACAAAATCTCATCATTCCACACAGCCCCACTCACCCATCACCCCTCAGGAATCTTACGCAATTTCCCTTCTTCATTCTACCTAGTCATTTCCCAGTCAGATCAACTTCACGCTTCTCCCCGCCCTCTCTGAGCCTCTGGTTTGCATACATCATTCACAGACCTACTTCTACCCAAGAAAGGGCAAGCTCTTTGGATCGGCATCCCATGGGTGCTCAATGACTCCTCCATCTGTATTTAGTAAAACAAACTCTCTTGAAGAGAATTCAACTCAAAGAGTTTAGCATGATGGACCAGCAGGCAGAATGAGGGTTAGGGTGGCTGGATCTCACATGGCTGACTGTACCATTCGAGTCCCAGGCCCAGTGGCTTAAAAAAATCACACCAGGTGCATGTATATGCATGCCCAAAATTCCAAGAGGAGAATGGAGGAAAAGGGACTGCACCATGGCCATACTCCGGGGGTGTTTTCTCACTTTCTCTCTCTCTCTCTCTCTCTCTCTGGCAAGCACATGTGCCCTATAATAACAAAAAAGTAAAAGAGTTCAGAATAACTCATTTTGAAAATACCAGTCAAGTCAGAAAGTACAAAAATACTTATCACTTTCCAGCAATATATACTATAAAACAGTATGTACAATAAAACATTTCATCTAGAGGAAATGTTTGGAGGGTCAGGTATCAAGAACCCACATAGACTATGTTCTTAGCATGAATACAGATTTGGCCATTAACTAACTGATTTTGTTCAGTCATATAATTCACATCACAAATTGGCACTTTCACACAACTTAGCCAGACAAACATTTAAGTGAAGGAGAAGAGATAAGTATAAAATCCCCTGCTTTAATAGCCAGAACAATGAAATTCTAATGGTTAATTTGAGCCATGTCACATAATGATAGATTATACATGACTAATTATATTTCAAGCACATGCCAATACTTTATATACATGATACATGTTAACTTATTTAACCCTGAGATAACATTACAGAGTGAGTATTGTGATGGTTTGAAGTTAGGGGTCACACTATACTTAGATTAGTAGACAAGGAGACCAAAGCTCAGAAAGGTTAAAATAACTTGCCCAACAAACACCAATTTAAGATCAAGTATGTAATAACTCTAGTTTGCAAGCTCTTAAGCACCTCAAGCACACCAAAATGGGCAATTCTACAGTCACTTTTATTAACACAGCCAGTGTGACCCAGACCACTCAAACCTAGAACTTTCTAGTGAAAGTTTGTAACAGCTGAGGATGGCCAATTTGTATTGTATGCATGCAATATGACAAACTCTTAAGTGTTTCCACATGTTTTAATCTCATCAATTCTATGAGGAAGGCTACTATTGTTCCCATTTTACATAAGAAAACTAAGTAGTCAAGAGCTTAGTATCATTCCATGGTTCAAGGTAGCTCTGAATCTAAACCCAAACAATCTGACTCCAGAGCACTTCCTCCACACAACAGAAACCTCTAACTTAGCTTAAGAGGACTGGGCAAGTGGTTTCCTACATCGCTGTTTAATAAAGTGATCTTATAAGGAGGTTTGTATACAAGAATGTGTATAGAGCCCCAACCAGCTAGTCTAGTAGCTAGTATCTACTCTGTAGCTAAGGATTTCACACATGACCAGACCTCTGGGTGATGAATTATCAGTTTGTGGACACCAAGTACTAACCTATGGGCTGCTTTGACTCACTAAGTTTCTGTTTGTTTAATCTTGTCAGAGGGCCAAATGTGCTCACCAGAGACAGCAAGAGAAAGCACTCACCATGGGCATGGACATGCTGCAAAGCCTTCTCCATTTCTCCCTCTTTTCAGGATTTTGGACACACACACACACACACACACACACACACACATCCAGCATGTTGCTCAAGCTGCCGAGTCCATGGACTACATGGACTTGAACCATGCAGTCAGCCACATGAGAATCAGCTGCCTTGACCACCACACTATCAGCTCGGTCCACTAAGTTTTCTAGGACAAGCTGTGCCCATGTGCCAAAAGTGCAAACGAGCTACTAGTAATGTAGTTATTACCTGGTAATTTAATTCATACACAATGAATTTTCAAATGCCTTACTACATTTAAAATAACTGCTGACGGGCCAGCAGATGGCATGGTGGCTAAGGTGCTGGACTCTCACATGGGTGACAAAGGTTCTAGTCCAGACCTGGCAGCTCACTTTCTCTCTCTCTCTTTCCTTCTCACTCTGTATTTCTCTGGCAAGTGAATGTACCCTATAGCAAATTAAAAACTAATAATCATGGGACCAGGAGATGGGGTAATGGTTACATCACTGGACTCCCACATAGTCGACCACGGTTCACGTCTGGACCTAGTGGCTGAAAACTCATGCTAGGCGTTGTGTGCGTGTGTGTGTGTGCCCAAGATCTTGAGAGGTTAATGGAGGAGAAGGGATTGCGGTGTGGCCATTCCCCCTAAGGGGTGATTTCGTGCTTTCTGTCTCTCTTACTAAATAATAATGATAATAATAACAATTAAAAATTAAATAATTCTTTAAAAAGGGATAGCTCCTGGCTCTCTGCGCTCCAGAAAAATAAAGCAGAGGGTTAGACAAAATGTGTTCAAAAATATAGTGGTGGGAAAAAACAAAATATCTACTTTGATTTTACTCATTAGTTAACTCCCTAAGATATTCTTACCTATCAGTTTTACATTCTGCTCTGGAGGCACAGCCATAGATTCAAAGTTAAGTCTATGCGCACAGAAAATCCAGGTGTGCAACTGCCCATGAATTTAGTGCAATCATCTCAGAGTGTCCGCTTCGTGCCACATAGTTCAGACTACTTTTTGCCTAAACTGCACAGGCAATTGAAACTTAGGGGCAGTCTCTATCCTGTAACTTCTGAAATCTTGGTCCTCGACCCTCACTTTTCCCCATTCCTTGCTCCTCGAGGCTGAAGAAGTCAGACTCCTGTCTCAGGCTTGACTTCCCCGAGAAATGCCTCCATTCTCCACATTGCTCTTCCTCTTCCTCCAACGATCATTTTCAGAACGGGTACTTTCTAGGACGCAGTGGTAATGTGTGCAGGCTCAGCCCTGCTGCAGTGGTACCAGTGGGTAGGTCACTGCCACCGCAGCTAGGACCACATGAAAGGCCTGAGTTCAGATCCTGGACCAACAAAACCGGACTGGGCACACGCCTGTGATTCAGCTTACTGGAAGGCTGAAGTAGAGGATGAAATCTGTCTCTCTCTCTCTCCCTCTCTGTCTCCCATTTAAAGAGAAAAAGCATAGGCTCTGTGAATACACATTATCAAATCTGAATCTGGATCCTCTTACTCCTACTGTGTGATAGTGGACAAGTTGCTTACCCCTTCCGCTGCAATTTTCTTATCCATAAAATATGGTCAAGCCTCAAACAATATCTGGGAGGGATAAATGCAATCATGTATACAAAGCACTTATATACAGTGCTCAAAAATGAACAGACCTCTTTTTTTTATTATTATTTTGCCCTATAACAGGGTATTCCAAATCAACTTAAATATCAATCAAGAAATAAAAGTTAATAAATCCAGGATTTAAACTAAATCCAAACAAGTGTCCCATATTGGGGCTCCTACTGCCCTAAATGAGGAGGCGCTCTAGTGGGCAGAGGGTTCCCCAATGACTAGTGACCACACCTACCAGGGCGTGGTCTGCTCCAGGAGGAGCTCTGAGCTGCCCACTGTTTGGGCAAGGTCATGGAACCAACGCTTCAGCCTTGGTCCAGGGAGGCCTTCACTTCCTCGGACCACTGAGAAGCCACGTGGCTGGGAAACCTCAAAGACACTGGGCTGGAATATAACTGAGAAAACACTAGGTTGCCATTTAAATCACTGCACAAATGTTTCATATATCTTGAAACCTAACTTGAAATGTAACTCTAGCACAACTATCCAAACAATCTAGAGAAATAATTCACTTTAAATTTTTCAAATTTGATTCAACTAGATTCAAAGCACTGTGCTAAGTGAGGAAATTAATGTATAACAAGAAAATAAACTTCTCAATTATGGTGAAATAATATGAAAGTCAATACATTTCCGCAGACCTAAAGGATTTTTCACTCTCTCAGAGCAGGACATAGTCAAAACACCCAAGTCAGGCAGTCACAATGTCCTCCTGAAATCCCTGGAGGTTTGTTAAAGGTCACTCATCACTGTCTTTGTTTATACCCAATTATGTAGGATTCCTCCACTGGGAAAAAGCAGTGTAGACATATTTCTCTCTCTTTCGAAAATACTAACCAAGGCGGGCATTCTGAGCTATCGAAAACAGCTAGGCTTCTGGTAATCTTCCAGTGACTGAGGGCTCAAATGCATGGAAATTTTAACCCTAAATTGATGTATCAATTAACCAAACCACTGTCTCAGTATTTTGTGGTATCTTCCTACTCAAACAATGATCCTGGGTCTGGCTGGATGTAAGACCAACGGGAGCCTCCATTTTCTGGGATTTCCATGTCAATCCTGTAAACATTCTGCGGCAGCAGAACTGTTTACGGCACAGGGCCACCGGGTATTGTGCCAGACATGCCCATGTGCTACTCCCTTTCTCCCATCTCCTGCTCACACAATAATGGCATTTAAGCCTGAAGATGGTGGCTAGCATTCAAACCTAGATAAGCAGATAACCATGTTAAGGCTACATCAAAACTGCACACCACTGCTCTTGGCCAGGCATCTTCAACGGGGACCAGAAGGTTTCTAAAGCTTTTGCGATTCCATACTCTTGGTAATGTTGACATTTAAGAGAGAGATGGTAGAGACTGACCTTTTTGAGTAAAAGAGGAAGTTAGTAGTTAATCTTCCAGCATTATTGTCTATAAACAACTAAGGCGTTTCATAAAAGTGTAACTTAGTATCTTTACAGGGCTCAATTCTATTATTCTGAACACAATGCACGTAAGATCTTCCTAGAGACATTTCTTTATAGCTATTTACCTCGATAACGACTAATGACCCAGAGAATTTTTGCTTTTAGCATGAAACAGTTGGGAGACCACTGTTTTCCCCTCCCAGTACCAGATGAAGAAAACTGTCAACTACAAACTGCCCCTCACTGCCAGGTGACCACCAAATGCCTTTGGGGACGGTAAGGACAGGGTGCGTGGGTATTTGAGCAGCGCGACCGAGGGGCTGGCACGGGTCCCCCCTCGCGCCAACCATGCCCTGGCCAAATGCCCCTCTCGGCGCCCTTGCGAGGGGCCCTCTCTCCGGCTCACCTAATGACCAGGAGTTCGTGGAGCAGATACGCAGCTGCGGCCAGCAAAGCTCCCCCAGTCAAGTAAAGGGTTTTCTTCCACCAGGGATCGGAGCCCAGCCCTGCCATGATCCCACCGTAATCCTGCAAAGGGAAAGCGATGATGTCCCCATAAAAGGAGAAGGGCTCCTCGGACCCGGCCCACCAGCCGAAGAAGGAGATGCTCTGGTTCCAGCTCAGATCCACCACGCACGGCCTGGACGAGGCAAAGCCAACCCCCCAGTGCATGCTGCGCGGCTAGCTCCGGGCGCCCCTCCCAGGGCCCGCGCCGCCCGCATGGGAAGAGGCCGGCGCGGCCCGGCGCGGGCTCAGCTGCGCGCGGAG